TTATGTGCTTTGGATACCTCCCCTCCCCAAGCCACCCTGAAAGACCTACATTTATAATGTCACACAACATTTCTATTTCAAATAAATGCTGTTCTTCTGAACTTTCTATTCATCTGTGAATCCTGAGAAATAAAATGTAACAGTTTCCACAAAAATATTGTGCAGCACAATCGCACCTGTGTGAATTTGCTCCAGATGTTGGCGGTGAGGTACAGCGGCAGGAGGTCCAGGCTCTCCAGCGTGGCTCTGTTCCAGCTGTCTGAGGGTCTGAGAGGAAGGTCTGCTGTCAGGCTGAGCTCATATAACGCACAGGATATCAGTGTGACACGCATGTGTGTGTGTGTGTGTGTGTGAGTGTGTTTGTACCCATAGCTGGTGTTTCCTCCCAGCAGGACGCTCTCCAGCGCAGAGATCTGCTCAGCTGATAGATCCACACATGGCTTGAGCTTCTCCAGCACATACGGGTCCGAGCTCTGGATGTACTCGCCGCTCAGAAAACAGCTCATGCTGCCCAAAACATCCAGCTGATCCCGACTGATGCTGACGCCTGAGATTCCCTGAAACACAGACCACAGCAACATCTGTCAAACTCCACCAGACAAACGCTTCGATCATCCTGAAAAACATTTAATCTAATCAGAGTTTTATTTTTGTCATATTCATATTGTCAGATCGTCAGATTCATATATTTGAATTGCATATAAACTTCCGTTCATTTGAATTACAGTTTCAACAACAAAAACTAATAAACTTTGTGATGCATATTTGTCAGTCACACAAGTGTTTCAGTATCATTGATATACTTTTGATATGTTGATTTCATTTTAATTTTAATGTTTCAGTAATTTTGTTGTGTTGTCATTCTTATTAGCTTATTATATATAAATTTATAGTTATTTTAGTACTTCAAGGTCAACTAGAAGAAAATGAGAAGTGATGTCATGGCAACTAGCTGAAATAAGTGTATTTTTAATATATATACTGTATATATATATATCATATTTTATTTTGGTTTCTTTGTTTAATGGGTTTCGTTTAAATTTGTGTTTTAGCTAATGATAAACCCGAGTCATTCATAAATAAAACAGGTCGGATTTCTGTACTAATAAACTGTGATAAAATGTGTTTTGAATACACAATAACCAGGTTTATATATTTATCATCAATAAATCTGTGTTTTCAGACGTACTTGTAATAGACGAGCACTTCAGCGGGATACTGGGAGAAGGCAGAGAGATCGGCGCTCTTGATGTAGTGATGCATGCAGGTCAGCTGAGGGACAATCACACATCAACACATCTCATCTCATCGTCATATGTGTGGCAATTACTGAATAAACCATTAAACTCGCTATATTTTACGATATAAATAAGCCTATTAAATCTGATGCATGAAGGCTTTTAAATGATCAACGTAATCAAACTTTGCTGTTAAACCTGTTTCACTCAATCTGCTCCACACCTTCTGTCGTCTGATTGAGAGTTTGATCAAATCAAAGCTCTTTTAGTGTAATTGTACAAACGTCCAGCTTCAGCTTGAGCTTCTCGTGTCTTTCTGCTGTCAAATCTTGACTGATTTTTAGCAAGTAACCTTCAGAATAACTTTGATATTGTTAGTAATATTTCAAGGTGATTTGTTTTGTGTGCTCAGTATCACTTTCCATCCCGTCCTTTTGCATAATTTCTTAAAATTACTAAAGCCACTTCCTGAATGACATCACCCTCCAGGAAATGACATCGTTTTGGAGGGAAACAGCAGCACTGACATTAGCATTATCAATGAATCTGTGATGTTTGAAAAGGTTAAACATTCTGTTTATTTTCTTGTGTAAATGATAAGGCTGAAGGGTTTGATGTCGACCAGAGCAGATTTATGAAAGTCTATTATTTTATAAATGTTTCATGAGGTTCAGCAGAACATGAAGGAGCATCTTAATGTAAATGACAATGATTGGTTTCTAAATTAAGCAACAAAAGCCTGTGACTGATGTGCTTGTTCACCTGTGACTCCTGCAGGACGAGCATCTGATTGGCTCGCCGTCTGCAGCCGCGGATCAGACTCAGGACTTTACTAGTGCTGAAGCTCTGGATTCGTGAACAAGTGAAGCCCTGCAGCACCTGGAAGGACATGCTACACACACACACACACACACACAGGTTAACATGGTCAAAACTAAAACACCTCTATCTAATCTGACTGATAACTCTCTTCACTCACTCATCTGGGTTCCTGAACTGTGCAGCGACGGTTTCAAAGATCAAAACGGCCTGAGAGGAAGAGAAATTCAACCATTTAACATATGCACTACAACACACTTGCTAACACATGCAACATGACCTTAATAACTTTATGTGCAATAAATATATATTTCAATATTTGAATATGCGGTACATACATCTCAATATACATGTCATTAATCAAGGGAAAGCAATTTGTAAACTGTATACATATATATATATATATATATATAGACACCTGACACACCTGCTCCTGTTTCCATTTCTTCCGGTTGACCGTCTGCACAGCCGCAGATGACTGCGGCACATCCAGCAGGAAGATGCGCGGGATTTCCGTCGCCATGAGGTCAGGAACGTTTGTGATGACGGCGTCAGATGAGCTGTTGACAGCGATGATCTGAAGAGAGACAGAGAGAGACGTCACGAGACGAAGCTGAGCCGAACCGGAGCCGTGTGAATGTGAGCGAGAGTTACCTGGCTAATGATGGTCTGCTGGATGATCACAGGGGCGCCGATGACGTTGGTCACGAACAATTCAGATTTCATTGCCTCAAGGAAGATTTCTCCTGAGATTACTCTGAAGATTGATGATTGAACACCGATGATCAGTGAACCCAAGTTCTGCAGACTGGCTGCATGATTAATCTGCCACAGACACAGATGTGTGTTAATACATCGAAAATTATAAGACAGACAGTTTCCAGGGATGCACAACATTAGATTCTTACCGATATCCGATATGCTGATATTTTTCAAATCATTTTGGCCGATAACCAATGCCTAACCCTAACCCTAAGCAATATATATTTCCTTTTGTTTTGAAACAACATCTGTACAGAAATTACAAAAGCAAAAGAGCTGTAAAAATACTAAAAATCTTTTAGAGCTCCTTGTATTTAAGATTTTATAATCCATAGTAAATATATTACATATTAATGAATAAATCTGTATATATGTATATAAATTATTTAATTTACAAATGTCATGTTTGTGATTTTTATTGATGTAAGCTATAGCTTCTGACCTTTAAAGCAAAACAGACTCATGATTTTATGACATCAATTACTGCTTTGTTTGTATTTTACTTTTCATTTCATTACAAGTAGGCCTACAGCGCCCCCTACATAAATAAAAGGCCTCACCGGAGGGGCGTTGACTCTATCGCACACCGGACGTGTCGTTCTGTACTCACATTCTCAGATTAAATGCTGTGATCCAAAACAGTGAATCTAATCACCATTCAGGCAAAAGTTCCTTCATGAATGACCGCACTGCTGACCTGATCTTATCGCTATCACACCCTGAGCACATGTGAGCTACTCATGTTATCGGCATCATTTTATTTTCAAACCCAATGTTTACATTTTAAGCCTTCATCGGCCGACGTTCCAATAATATTATGCATCCCTAACAGTTTCCATACTGGAATTTAACTTGCAGAGATCACTGTGAGTTAGTAATTGAATCACGGGTTTATTCAACATCATTGATTTATTCAGGAATTAAACAAGTGACAGTCTTTATATGTGAGTCAATAAATCATTGATTCAACCAATTCACTTAACAACACTGATTCATTCAGGAAGGAAAAGAGTGATTGTCTTTATGAACGAATCATTGATTCAACAATTCATTCAACAACACTGATTCATTCTGGAACAAAACAAGTGATTGTCTTTATGAATGAATCATCGATTCAACAATTCATTCAACAACACTGATTCATTTCAGGAACATAAAAAAGTATTTATGACTCAATGAATCTTTGATTCAACCCATTCGTTCAACAACACTGATTCATTCAGGAATGAAACATCACTCAGAGACACGTAAGGTGTTGATTTGTTTGGCTTTGAATCGGTATTGGTGGTGTGTACCTGGTAAACTCCAGATGACAGCAGGGTTTGGATGATCATCATGGCCTGATCGAGGTTCCAGCCCTGAACGAGTCTGAGCACGGAGAGCGCATTGAGCAGCACATTCCCTCCGGCGCCGCTGATCTGAGCCGTGCTCAAACCTGTGGATGACTGACCCAGAGCCTTGATGGTGTCCACCGTCAGAACCCCCACGTTACTCGCCAGAGCCGCCGACACCTGCGCGCACACACACACACGTCTAGCTTATACAGAGCTTACTTCTGCTGACGTGAACACACACAAACACTCCTGTACGTACATCGGGGAGAATATCTGTGCAGTTCTGATGGATGCTGGATGAGATGATCTTCAGCTGCTCCGGACTCAGCTGAAGGAAGGAGCTCGCAGGAGCCAAGCAGCGGAACTTCAGAGGAAGACTATAAACACAATCAAACATTAAGCAGCCTTGGTTGGTTTGCTGGTCTAAATCAGATCAGGGGTGTCAAACTCAATTCCTGGAGGGCCGGAGCCCTGCAGAGTTTTGTTCCAACCCTGGTTCCACACCCATACCCAGCATGGTCAAATAAGCCTGAAGGACTTGATTAGTTGGTTTAGGTGTGTTTAATTAAGGTTGAATCTAAACTCTGCAGGGCTCCGGCCCTCCAGGAATTGAGCTTGACCCCCCTGGTTTAGATGGTCCAACAGACAAGTGGCCACAGACCAACCTTCTCAGGGGGGATTTTTCAAATCATAGTATTGTAAATTAGTGTGAACTAGCCTTCATTTGATGAGAGTGGCTCATGCTGGATTTAAATGACTTTTCATGTACACTATTAAAAATGAAGCTTCTTTATTGGCATTGTCCGTTCCATGAAGAACCTTTAACATCCATGGAATCTTTCCATCGCACAAAAGATTCTTTAAAATAGAAAAAAAGTTCTTAAAATATTCACACTAAGAACGATGGTTCTTTCAAGAACTGTTCACTGAAAGGTTCTATGTGGCATCACTGTGAAAACCTGCTTTTGGAAGCTTTATTTTCAGGAGTGTAGTTCAGTAAAATGTGATTAAGACTGGTTATTGAGAGTGTTGCAGTGTCTCTCACTAGTAGGCGCTGAAGGACGGATTCATCTCGAACAGCAGAGTCACATAGTGCTCCATCACGTCATCAGGAACGCTGGTCTGACCGAAGAGCTGCAGGTTCTCCAGGTTCACGAGGAACGGCTGAAAAACAAAGACATTTTTGAGTTTGGAATGACATGAGGGTGAAGATGAACTATTCCGTTAAGAGCGAACGGATACAGACGACAGAAAAAAGATCTGAGCTCTTCAAGACGTAGGTTGACACACCTGAATGGAGCCAAACTGGAGGAGGTTGTCCAGTGTGATGAAGCTCAAGAAAACAGAGATGTAGTCTGCGAACCAGGCGGTGGAGTTGAGATCAGGATTAGAGGTGTTATAGCATTTAGGAGTTGAACCTGAAGCTGAGAACACAAAGACAAACACGGCTCACCATCA